AGGAGAAGGAGAAGGAGAAGGAGAAGGAGAAGGAGAAGGAGAAGGAGAAGGAGAAGGAGAAGGAGAAGGAGAAGGAGAAGGAGAAGGAGAAGGAGAAGGAGAAGGAGAAGGAGAAGGAGAAGGAGAAGGAGAAGGAGAAGAAGAAGAAGAAGAAGAAGAAGAAGAAGAAGAAGAAGAAGAAGAAGAAGAAGAAGAAGAAGAAGAAGAAGAAGAAGAAGAAGAAGAAGAAACCCCAGGACAGCAGAACTTTTAAAATGCCTTGACTAGATCAGGGTCGTAGTCAGTCTGAGGCAGCTGGAAACTGTCCACAGTAGCAGATCACAGCCACTACCTCTCCCTACCTTACAGTCTCTCACCACTCCAGTGTTTGATGCTCATTACTGCCTCTGAGTTGTCTGCCCTGAAGCCCTAAACGATCCCTGGATTCCTGTACCTCTTGTTATCCAGCTATTTCCTATGGGGCCTCCAGACATGCTAAGACCACTCCCACATGCTGTGCCTGTCCTCCTCCTTTGTAGCTGCTGTTCCCTGTGCTGGGAATACCGTCTTCTTCTAATCCGTCTATGACAAATGAAGTTCCACAGACCTTCAAAACACAGAGCAGCAGCTTGGAGGTGTGTCGATGGGCATTGCTTTAAATAGGCATTTCCCTTTGATCAGTAGAAACTCATATATGGTTGGGTTTTCTTCTTGCACAGTAATTCTCAGCACCTCTCTAGAAACTTCTCTCTGTCCCCTGCGGCACACAAGTCCTCCCTTTACTGAGCTGTTTGTGTCGCTGCGGGGAGAAGTAGCCCCCCAATAAACCCACGCTCTCATAAATCACATTCTTGGAGGAAAACAGAAAAAAACTATGAGCAAGAAACAAATAAATATTTAATTACCCACTTCAGATAATAAATAAGAGGTATGAAGAAAATAGAAAAGGGTAATGCTATCTCTACGGACTACACTTTCTCCCCTGATTTCCGGTGTTTACCTCATGGTTGTTACCCTTTAAAACCTGAGCTCACCTGGCACCTCGACATCATCTGGGCACCTCTGCATAATCTGGGCATCTCTGCATCATCTGGACACATCTGCATCATCTGGGCACCTCTGCATCATCTGGGCACCTCTTCATCATCTGGGCACCTCTGCATCATCTGGACACCTCTGCATCATCTGAGCACCTCTGTATCATCTGGACACCTCTGCATCATCTGGGCAGCTTTCCAGTGGACTGAGGTACTTTGTCTATGATATGCTGCAGATACCTATTCCTGTATCCTCAAGAATTCTAAAGCCTCTACATCATTTGCCTACTCACGAGGTGCCTAGAACAGGCCACAAAGCAGGACTTCAGTTACTACTTGGTAAAAATAAATAAATAAATAAATAAATAAATAAACAAATATCACATGAAGCATGGGTGCTACCACATGTCAGAAGCATCACCTCTGAATGTAAAAGATAAGAAATATATTCAAAACCAAAAATAATATGAACTCGGACATAAGTTTGGGCCTGGCTCTTGACTGTGAGACTATATAGATCAACATCCCCATCAGCATCCCCCATTAGCATCCCCGTCAGCATCCCCCATTAGCATCCCCATCAGCATCTCCCATTAGCATCCCTTGTTAGCATCCCTTTAGCATCCTTTGTTAGCATCCCCATCAGTATCCCCACCAGCATCCCTATTAGCAGCCCCCACTAGCATCCCCCATTAGCATCCCTAAAGTGAATTTTTTGTCCTATTAGAATAAAGAACCTTTATTTTGATACAATAGAAACCTACGGCAAGTGAGTCAGACACAAACTGATTCAGATGAAATGAACAATTTGTCTCTCAGATGTCTCATTTGTCCCTAGATAGTTATACTAAGGCGTAGTGAAGTCACTAACATCACTGAAGTTGACAGGAAATTACTCTGATGCATACAATAAAATGGAATTGAAAACGCTGTTTCCTAATCAATTATACCACATAAATTCATCTGAGAATGAGAACACAGACAACGTCTCTCCTGGTCTTGCACCGTACTTCACGTGTGTGTCGAGTTGGGCACACCCAGAGGCAATGCAGGAGGAAAGTTGAGGGTCCTCATGGCTAATTAGGCTATGCTGAAAACCAGGGGGAGACTAATTGTAAGAGCACAGCCCCGCAGTAATAGCAGACTGAACTGAATTTTACGTTGAAAAATAAGAAGCAAATTTAGGGTAGGATAACCATCGGTTTCCAAACATCAATTGCTGGCTGTGGATAGTATCAGTGATACCCAAAGCCCATGTGGACTGAAGAAGTGATTGAACAACTTGACAAATAGACTCTGATTGGTGAAACCTCTGCTTTCCCTTTCATGGTCCCTACAGGAAGTGGTGTATCTTTAAAAGGAAAACATTAATACATATTTTTTAATCCTTTTCAGAAAATGCCATAACTAAACCCATTCTTTTTGTTCAATTAATAGACAGTAATAAAGATAAGGAAAACCCTTAAATCCCCCAGAATATACCACATACTTTACCCTGAGCGTACTGCCTAGTGGAGAATGCCTTGTCTATTCCCTTTCTGTTTCCCTGACAATCCAGCTTGTCTCCACTGCTTGGCCTCTGTCCTTAACAAAAAATAAATTCAAGTGGGCCCAAGGAGAAAAATGAAGATTATCTGCAATCTGCCAATTCATTGTCTGTTTCCCTCTGTTCAGTATCTCTCCAAGTACAGTAATTAAATAAATTCCTTTCAAAGTGCTACCAAATATCATGGGGAATTTATATTAAATGGGTAAGATTTTGAACAGCGCTTTCAAAAACAACCCTAAAATAGGTCTTCTAAAAGAGAAATATCTTTTCAATCTTAACCTATAGGATCAACACAAAACATGCTACAATCTGGCTTTTCTTTTAATAACTTACATTTCTATATATTCATATGACCATGTAAAAATTAAGATTACTAAATTTAATATAATGTTCAGGGACAGAATAAAACGGATCAGAAATCACATTCTGTAAAAGGTGCAAGAAAAAAGTGTTCAAGGTTTTGAAAATCTTTCAGTCTCTGTAACAACTCAACGCAGCCATAACAGCAAAGCAGTCCTAGACAATAGGTAAACAAGTGAGCATAGGAAGATTTCAATAAAACTTTATTAAAAACATGGTTATTGATGACTCCAGGTTTAGAATACAAGATCAATGAAAGTAATAACTGTACTTTTCCATGATGTAGGCTCAAGGGCAGAAACAATGACTGGTATATGACAGATGTTCAATAATATAAATAAAAATAACAGATCTTGTAAATGTTACTTATAACTACTCCAGAAAAAAAATACTTGCTCATAACCAAAAGGAAAAAATAATCCAAAAGCTCATCAACACACAAGTGGATTTAGGAAATGTGGTACAACTTTATGATGGGCCACAAAGAGGGTTGAGACCTGACGCTTGCTGCAGCTTAGACAACTGAGAACATTGTGCTAAATGAAAGAAGTTAGTCACAAAGTCTACATGATGTGTGATTCCAATTGTGTGATCCCAGAACAGGGGAATCTGGAGCAGCGGAGAACAGATCATGGTGGTTTTGGAGAACAGTGTGTTGGCTGGAGGGTGTTGTGTGTGGCGTCGATGGGAATGTCTGTAATAGACTGTGGTGGTAACTACACATGTTTGCCAATGTGCTTCAGCATTAACTTTGACTTTCACTTTAAATATGTGAATTCTATTTCAGTAAAAACTAATGTTTTTAATGTTCACACTAAAACACTCCATGAAGAAAATGAGATGGCAGCCTCCACATGAGAATTTGCAGACTACCGACCAAGGAGTTGCATCTTGAGTGAAGAAATATCAGAAGTCACGGTTTTTATTTTGGTCAAGTTAAAAATGGCTGAAAGGTATAAAGATATTTTACCAAGAAGGTTATGCAGGCAGCAGAGGAGCCCGGGAAAGCGGCTCAGCACCACTAAGAACGACAGCAATGCCAGGGAAGCCTGCAAGGAGCCGTGATGCAATGAGTATGTGCGATACTACACCGTTTATGAGCGGCTTCTTTTCAGGTACGCGGAAGCTTTTGCTTTATTTGCGCTCTCAGGACTCCGGACTTCACAGCAGATCAAGTCCCTTTGCTCTGTCGGGCTCCACTCACGTTTTGCCAGCGTCAACGTTGTCCTTTGTGGTCCCCTGTTTTCTGGGGGCCTTTTCCTCTGTTAGCTGCGTCTTCCAGGTCCTGTGTTTAGGCGAGGCTCATTCTGTGCATAATTCAAAGAATCATAGACCATGCTGAACTGAAGTTGGACTTCTCGAAGGA